TACAAAAAGGCTTTCTTCACAAAGTGAAAAGACACCTAAGAAAGGGAGCACGTCTATGTAATAAAGTTGATGTTTTTTAAAAAGTTTTCTTGGGTGTATATGTGCAGTGTATCAGTTTGCTGCAATAAAGTACCATAAAGGGTTTTTTTTCTTCCATGTATCCATTCAGGGACAAGCAGCCAGATACTCGACCCTTCTGGTAATGAGCTCAACCGCTTAAGGAACGCCCTACAGCAGATATACAGCTACAGGGCGGCCCGTCTGCGCTAAATCACATATATATATATGTGATATATATATATGTAGTTATATATATATATATATATATATATATATATACGCAATTTTGCATTTCCATGGCCGCGATGTCAATTACCAAGCATCTCCGATGGGGAGGAAGATTGTTTTGTTTACAAACAATCTTCCTCCCTGTGCACAGTACAGCCATCCCGATCAGTGTGCTTATTGTAAAGCACACACCCCCTGCCCCCTAGTAAAACACTCCCAGCACATAGTTAACCCTTTGATCGCCCCTCACATTAACCCCTTCCTGCCCAGTGCCATTAGTACAGTGTCAGTGCTTTTTTTTTTTTTTTTAGCACTGATCACTGTATTGGAGTCACTGGGGTGTCAGGGATACCAAGTTAGTTCCCCCCAGTGTTAGAATGTCCGCCGCAGTCCCGCTAAAAGTCACTGATCACCGCCATTACTAGTAGAAAAAAAAAATCCCATTATCTATACCGCCATTTGTAAATGCTATAACTTTCGCGTAAACCAATTAATTTACTGGTACATGTTTAATAGCAAAAAGTCATGTAGCAAATATTTTGGTCTAATGTATAATGAAATTTTGTTTTTTTTTTTTTTTTACTGGACATGTTTAATAGCTCAAAATATATTATTTTTTTTTCTTTGTTAGCCTTTTTTTGCTTATAGCGCAAAAAATAAAGAACACACGTGATAAAATACCACCAAAAGAAAGCTCAATTAGTGGGAAAAAAGGCCGTAAATTTCATTTGGGTGCAGCATTGCATGACCGCGCAATTGTCAGTTAAAGTACAGCAGCGCCGTTTAACGCAAAAAATGGCCTGGTCATGAAGGGGGGTAAATCCTCTGGAGGTCAAGTGGTTAAACATGTATTGCAATATGTGTGAACTAAAAATCCCTGTTTTTATTGCAAAGTTTGGTAAAAAGGGTATATAGTAGTTTGCAGAGGGTTTATCTAGAATTTCTATTGATTATGTACCTTTCTGAAAAGAAAAAAAAGGCCGAATAAACTTTATGGTTAACCCTAATTAGTTTTTTAACCCTAAAGTTTGTAGTTAATATTTTAGTTAACCCATTATTATTTTTATTAACAAGCTCAGGGGAACACCAAACTTTGTCATTCTTGTCTGAGGTGCTAGAGAACCTGGTCCTGGCACTGAACACAGCTTTACTTATTTTACCACAATTCACTTTGCAAAGTGAACAGCTTTTACTCCTTTAGTAAATCAACCACATAGTCGTCACTGAACTGAACACTGAACCTGAAGCCAATATAGTTTTGTTGGTATGAAGCCTGCAAAACAAGAGAACATTTTTAATTTCAAACCAATTGTACTGCAAAATGTCTTATATTTTTCTTTTACTGATTTTTCAACCAGAATATTGAGAATGCAGTATTGAATACTCTTAGTGCCCGGTCACACCGGTGTCATTTGCAAATTAAAATTGCACCTGAAATTGCATCTAGTGAATGTCCGTGTCTTACCATGTGCATTTGCTGCAGCGCGATTTCTAAAGTAGTTCTTGCATTACTTTTTCTGCAGTTTTGTCGCGATTTCACATACATGGAATATAATGGAAATCGCACTGCAAATTGCAAGAAATCGTTGAAAATCTTCACAAATAGCAATAAAGTCTTCAGAAATCGCACTGAAATTGCACACATCACACGATTTGAAATCACAGCAGTGTGACCAGTGACCTAATGTATGACCTAGTGACATATGATGATGGCATATAGCATAAAAGGCAAAAGAAATATCCAAAATATATAACATCTTTGTCAAAGAAGTGGAAATTGCAGTTCAATGTTTCAAAGATTGGTCAAAGAAGTGGAAATTGCTGTTCAGTGATTTTAAATGTAAAATAATGGACCTCGGGTAAAAGAATCCCTTAAGAGACTACAACATTGGGGGTACATTGTTGGCCAGCACTAGTGGAAAAGAACTTGGGGGGTACTTATTTCAGATGATTGTAAAATCAGCAAACAGTGTGGCCAGGCAGTGGGGAAAGCAAATATAATTCAAGGATGCATCACTAGAGGGGTCACCAGCAGGAGGAAGGAGGTCCTGATTCCCCTATATAGATCTTTAGTTAGACCTCATTTAGAATACTGTGTCCAGTTCTGGAGACCTCACGTACAAAAAGATAATGATAAGATAGAATGAGTCCAGAGATGTGTAACAAAAATGGTGAAAGGTCTGGGGGATAAAACATATAAAGAGTAACTTCATTAACTTAACAAAGTCTGGAGGAAAGAAGGGAAAGGGGAGACATGATTGAAACCTTTAAGTACATCAAGTGAATAAGGTTCAGGAGGGCAGGATTTTCAACATGAAACCAAAATCAAGAACACGGGGACATGACCTTAAACTAACTGGAGGAAAGTTCAAAACTAAACTCAGAAAGTATTTTTACTGAAAGAGTAGTTGGTGCTTGGAATAAACTTCCAGAGGTAGTGAGTCAGTCAACAGAAATCCCTTCAAACATGCTCCGGACAAGCATAGATCTGTACAAAAAAGTTAACAAAAAAACAAAAAAAAAACAAGCAGACTTGATGGACCACTCGATCTTTTTCTGCTGTCACTTTTCTGTTTTAATGTTTCTATTTTCAACAGAAAGTTACAAAATCAACCCCTGAATACGTTTCTCCTAATATCAAATATGCCAGTTGTCTCAGTATAAATACAGAAACCGCAAAAGCAAAAGTAGCCAAAATAATGCACAAATACAGTGGCAAGAAAAGTGTGTAAAAAAAAAAAAAAAAAAAAAAAAAAAGTACTGTTTGGAATTAAACGGTTTTCTGCAGTAATTGCTGTAAAATGTGATCTGATCCTCATCTAAGTCACAATAGACAAACACAATGGGGGTTATCCACTAAAACGGAAGCGTGCAAAATCTGGTGCAGCGCTGCATAGAAACCAATAAGTTTCCAGGTTTTATTTCAAAGATTAATCACTTGGCAACTGCGCTATAGCCAAATGATGGCTACAGCGCGGTTGTCCAGTTCTGGGAGGGCGTCATATGACGTCCTCCCAGAACGCGCCCTCCCGCGCCCCCACTGCAGGAGCAAATTGGATTGTGCTTTTGCTGGGTTTTTTTCCTTCCTCTGGATCAACTGTGGGTGTAGGATTATAACTTTTTTTTTTTTTTTATGGTTGAACTGGAAGGGCTTTTGTCTTTTTTCAGTCAGACTATGTAACTATGTCTTTAGGCTACCTAGAATGGCCTTTGTCCAAAAACTACAGGATTCTGTAGTGAAGGACTAAACATTTACTCCATTCCTTTCAGTTGAGAGCTCATCTGTCATTTTGATGGCAAATTCACTAAAAGCTAATCTCCAGGCAGGTCTTAAAGACACGTATGAGGTCTTTAACCGCTTCCCGGCTGCCCTATAGCAGATATACTGCTGCAGGTCCCGGCAGGTGATTGCCGAGCATCTCTGATGGGGAAGAGAACTGTATGCAAACAATACAGTTCTCCTCCCTATCAGCTTGTGCACACTGCTTTGGATGGCAGCCATCCAAAGTAGCGTGATTACAGTGAAGCACAGACACAAGTAAAACAGCACACAGTTAACCCTTTGATCGCCCCTCATGTTAAACCCTTCCTCCCCAGTGCCATTAGTGCAGTGTCAGTGCTTTTTTTTTTTTTAGCACTGATCACTGTATTGGTGTCACTGGGGATGTCAGTGACACCAAGTCAGTTCCCCCCAGTGTAAGAATGCCCCCTGAAGTCCCACTACAAGTCGCTGATCGCTGCCATTACTAGTAAACATTTTTTTTAAAATGTTAAAATTCCAGTATCTATACCGCCATTTGTAAACACTAAATTTCACGTAAACCATTTAATTTACACGTATTGGGATTTTTTTTTTTTTAGCAAAGACATGTAGCAGAATACATTTTGGCCTAAATTTATGATGAAATTAGATTTTTAAAATCTTTTTACTGGACTTGTTTAATAGCAAAAAGTCGAAAATATTGTATTTTTTTTCTCAAAATTGTCGGTCTTTTTTTTTAATATATATATAGCGCAAAAAAATAAAAAATGCACAGACAATCAAATACCGCCGAAAGAAAGCTCAATTTGTGGGGAAAAAAGGACATACATTTCACTTGGGTGCAGCGTTGCGTGACCGCGCAATTGTCAAAGTAACACCGCGCCGTAATGTAAAAAATAGCCTGGTCAGGAAGGTAGATCTTCAGTAGGGCAAGTGGTTAATCATTGATATATAAAAATAATTATTTTTATATGCAGACAGTATAAGTACCTACATTTTACCTGGTATCAGTTTCTTTCAGTCCCCCATATAGCAGAACTGGAGTGTAAGGGAAAGAAGCAGTATAAGGAGCCAGTCAGTTCAAGTGGTGACAAGAAATGTGCTGACAGGAGGAGAAAGCAGAGAGATGAGCTCCTCACTATGCCACTTCTCCTTTCACTGTCCAGTCACAGGCTGGGAGGTTTACAATGATCTGTGCTCAGAGGAGGTGGGTTGAATGATGCTGGCCATCAGACTGAGCACATCTAGTGGCACAAAAAAAGTACTGCAGGAGCAGTCTCTGGACTGAAAGTGAATACTGCAGCAAAGGCTAGTTTTGTTGGTATCTTTTTATGGACTATTATATCTGTGTCTTATTTTTATTTATTTTTTCATATTGAATGTTTAAAACTAACCCATGACCACTTTTTTGAAGATTTCTTATAATGTGTACTTAAATTGTTAATATTTTCAGTGTGGAAAGAGCGTTTTGGCAAACTTTTTAGCTGATGCTACAGAGAACATTGGTGGAGAATACAGTCCAACACAAGGTGTAAGGTAATCTGATAGTTTTCTGTTATGTTTATGACAAGGTTGGGGAGTATTCTATACCTGTCAGCCAGTGAGAATTCAATATCCACCAAGTACGGAATGGAAAATTGATTATTCTTTTATGAAAGCTAGTTTATCAAAGTGTATGCAAACCCACAGGGACAAAACCGTGTATATACTGTATTATAGCTCAACAGTCCATTTTTTTTCAGGATTTTCAAATCTAAAGAACATCTTATGTCCATAACATAGGTGGGACCGGGGAAGGGGTTCTGTAATTGACAGAGGAGAACTGAATGGGCTGATAACAATTTTTGGAGATTCAGTGGAGCACAGCTTCTCTGCCTTTTATCTAAGATCAAGTGTAGTATCTGTTCTTATCAGTGTCCAGGAAGAGCTCTCTTCTGCTACTCTGGCCTTTTTGCAGGAATGGTTTTCTGTATAGTGCTCTTCCTGTCTGAAGGGGGTCCTGAGGGTCCTTCACCATGGGAAGGAATCTGAATTAAGAGCCCACAGGGTGATGTGGGGATTGGTAGTACTTCCCTAGTTTAGAGGGTTTTGAGGGGCCCAGTGCCTGATTTCAGCTGAGGGCTAGGAAGACAGAGAGCTGACAGTGTCAAGCGCCTCCTGTGAGTGGGAACCCTGGGGTGCTCTTAGTATCACTATACGTTTAGGAACCCATTCTGAGAATGAGCATTAGGCCATGACAAAACCTGTTTTTTTTTCTGCACCACACATAATGGGCTAGGCCTATAGGCAGAGACCAGGTAATTTTTGTTTCCAGGCTCCTAGGCCTAGCCATTTTATAACACATTGACAACTATTTATTTTTCTCTCCATGTGTGTGTCACTTCACCTTTTTTATGTGTTATTTTCACTCCACAGGATGACAAGTGTGGGTTTTTGGGCCTACTCCAAAGTCTAGGGGGAGGATGTGTGGCTATTGGGTTCTCTTCTGCTTTGGGGGTGTTTCTTCAGGACAGCCTTCACCTAGTACTTGGTGGTTGTCTAGCATGAGTAGAGGGGTCAGTTGAGCCTCTTGACTGGGAGACCAGAGTGTCCCTAATAGGATCCCTGTACCCAGGGGGGCAGAGAAGGGTCCGTCCTCTTTGGGAAGGGATCAATAACACACCCAGTGAACTTTGTGTGTTGTTCATATGTGGTTTTGTTCACTTGGTGTTTATTATTTTGTGCACTCAGCATGGGCTCGGAAAAAAAGAACAGGCAGACAGCACAGGAAATTGGGACCTCACTAGATTTCAAATCAGAATCAACAAGTGTATTTACTATTTTTTGAACAGATATAACAAAGAACTTGTATATGTAAAAGGTCAAAACTGATCATGCTCGAGATTTTCATTGTTAGGGCTTACAAACACTAAAGCAGAAGTCTGAGCATGGGCATACTTATTTACACTGGTTCAGCTTGCACCAATGCTGGGGAAGCCGCCAATTACTGTAGTAATCACTACCACACTGCAATACATTGATAGCTGCCATCTGGGTCATTTGCCCGCCACTTTACAGAATGCCTTTTATTTTTGTCAGTGGATACAAGGAGTTCGCTAAACAGATGAGTTGATGATTGTGACATCACCACTCTTTCTCTTCACCTTCTCCAATCAGAGAATGCTTTGTGTTCATTGAAAAAAATACAAGGCATTCTGGAAGCAGTGCCAAGCAACTTCCAGTGTTTACCATGGAGTGGGGCAGCCACTCTACACAGGAACTAGTAGATTATGGCTTTCACTATAGTAGACCTGACTACTACAGTGATTATCGGCTTCCACAAAGGCTCCTCAGATGTGCATATATTTACATTGGTCCAAGCAGGAAACAATGCAGGAAACTTTAAAAATGCTCAGTGTTTTGTATCAGTTATCTACTCTGTTATAGCTGATAAGGTTTAGAGACATTGCAGAATTTCTTCTAACCCATGTAGCATATTGTTAATACAAAAGCCAGTCTAGTGGAAGAGCCAGGATGGCTTTTTGGTAGCCAAGGAAGGTGGAAGGTTCTCTTGACAGTAGAAAAGACTTTCAAAAAGATGAGCGTAAAATGTTATTTATTTGCATTGGATACCTGGGTCACCCGTGCTGATATTCTTTGCCTGAAAACTAGGGAATTGAAACATGTCTGTGTTCTGTAGCTTAGAAATGATTCCATAGTATTCTGGAACAAGGAGGAGAACAGTCTCAATCTCTATTGCCCCAAAACTACAAATAAGATTTTTTTTTTTTTTAGAGAATTTGATTGTTATAGGGCAGTACATTGAGACCTTTTTTGTTCATTTACATTTCTGACAATTGTATGTTCTTGTTTTATTTGGAGCACATGTTCAGGGTTCTTGCAGAGTGCAGATTATTTCCTCCACTTGTTTATGATGCACTGTAGTTTCACACAAAGGCTCAGTCTAACAGGCATGCACAGATGTGCAGAGTTTAATGAAACCCCTCATAAAATGTATAGCATGTGTCATCTTCAGCTGTAACTCCTTCAGCTGTAAGATAATAGCAAATTTGTTCAATGATATTCACACGGTGATGTTTGTTAAACATCTATAAACACTTCTCTTAATAACCTGTCTCTTTTATTTACAGAATATTAGAATTTGAGTGTCCTAATATAAATGGGAACAAAGGACCTGGATGTGAAGTGGAACTGTGGGACTGTGGAGGCGATCACAAGTAAATAAATATCAGCTATTTCCTATGTAAAATAATACCGTAAAGCAATAATCAGTGCATTTCATATATAGAATTTGCATGTCTGGGGAACACAGAAAACATCTGCTATCACTGTAAAAGGCTTTTACACTAGATATGTCAACAGGCTATCCATGTCATGTTTTAAAGTGGAATTCCAGGCAAGTAGCCAAATACACAAGCAAAATGCATATATATGAACTGTTTTCTTATACATAATTCTGTTTAGCCAGTCTTCTGATTCACACATCTCTGCCACACGGAACAGCCAAACAAGTGTCACCACTATTCCAGTTACAACTTCCCTTGTCATGCATCTGCCACAAGTCTGTGTATTAAGCAATAATTTAGTATTATCTTAACTGTGATCCAGTGGCAAAAAACTCTAAAGCTGAACTAAGAAATAATGGGCTCATCATCTTGGCATAGCTCCGTGAATAGATAAAAAAAAGGTTGGCAAGTAAACCAGTTCACATACACAGTATGCATTTCATCTTTGTGTTGAGCTGTTTGCTGGAAGTTCTACTTTAAAGCAGAGTTCCACTCACCCTGTCAAAAAATAAAAGTCAGCAGCTACAAAAACTGTAGCTGCTGACTTTTAAAAAACAGCCACTTACCTGTCCATCGGTCTCCTGGTGTGTCCCCCGCAGCCCGTTTCACCAGCCATCCTGTATTCCTGGAGGTCGGCATCTTCAGTGTGGGCACCTTGCTGTAACTGCTTGCGGCTTTACAGCTGGGAACCCACTGCGCATGAGCGAGTAGCGCTGCGCTTCATGAATGGTCCTGTAGTCTTCTGGGACCTGTCACGTGTCCCAAAAGACTACAGGAAGGGAGGGAGGACACCTTCTGTTTCCAATTGCCTAGGCGATCGGACCGGAAGTGGAAGTGGGTACCCGCTCCTCCCCCCGCCCCCCAAAGGTGCCAATCTTTAATGGGGAGCAGTCCTTAAAGCGGAACCTCCCCTTTTGGGTGGAGCTCCGCTTTAAGGGCCTGTTCACACTATCTGCATACTAAAATTAATTTTAGCACACTCGCTGGTGTCTGTCTTGACAAGCAGTGGAGGTGTGATGCGCTGCATACTTTTTTTTTTTTTTCCTTTAGGTTTAACATTATAGAGAGTTTACAATGCTACACTCAATTCAAGTCTGTGTACTGCAGTGCAGTGACCTGCGGTACAATCTAATACACTGTGAAAAATGTAGGATGTCTACATTTTGCAAAATTGTTTTCTATGTACCCTTGTGGTGACTGGCAGTGCAAAAAAATGCCAGCCAATGTGAACAGGCCCTTGATGTCTTCACACGAAGTTCAGCTAACTGTATAAGTGGTAGCTAACATATATTTTTTTGGATTCATGTCACCAAACATTTTGAAGGGAAGGTGAATAAAAAAATAATCCTGATTAATATATTGTACTATATTATATAATATAGTTCTATATCATTATACTATATAATGTACCATGATCCACAGATTTGAAGCGCCTAGCCAATGGCTGGTCTTAGTAAAAGAGGAACAGAGGTGCATTATTGCATAATCCTTTCAGTTAATGTGCTTGTCATTTTGCTGCATTTTTTTTTTCTGCACAATTCAATGCCAATATTTCTTTCATCCTTTGATATACCTGATACAGTGGCTGTTTTGAAAAGGTTACTGTAATATTCTGCTATACTAAATAACAGTCATGCCTGTCATACCAGGATGTAACCTGCACATGGTGGAACAGAGGAGATCGACACTCTCAGAAGTGTCGGTTTCTGACAAAATTTCAACTATGATTCCTTTGCATCAGAATGATGATTGGTGGCACAGGCAGCGGGAGAGGTAAGTATTTACTGTCTTTGCAGGGACATCAGTTATGCAATGTTTCATTTTCTGCTATTGCTCCAAAAGAAGAAATGTTTAATTTTATCTAGATGCTTTCAACTTTCATGTTACATCTGAATGCTGGGCCATTCTTAGGTGGTGAGCAATGCCCAAACACATCTTGATGACAATGGCATTAGTCCATTCCCCAATCCCCTTCAGCTCACCCACATTTCTTTTAGACAGTGAGGCAGCCTGACATAGTGATAGTCGAATAGGATTGGGAGAGGATGGAAGGAAACTGCTAAGGTTTGACACTACATAGAAAAGTCAGTGCTCTGCCTGTTTTGAATGGCCTGGCCTTTGGGCATATGTGAGGGCAATCTAAACTGCTGCAGGTATATGCAGGCCTCTCTAAGTACCTACACTTCATTCTTGATAACAGCTCTTCCTTTTTTTTTTTTTTTGTTTAAGTGACAGATTCTCTTCAATATAACTTTCTCAAAGTTTCTTAACATATTCTGTTTCTTCTTCTGGTACTGTAGGTTTGAAACTTGCTGGCCTGCCATAATGAAAGATTGCCATGGGGTAATCATTGTTTTTAATGCAGACATTCCAAGTCACCTCAAAGAGATTGAAATGTGGCACAGTAACTTCATTCAACAACAAAGGTTTCAAGAAAATCAGTGTCTGCTGATAGCACACCACAAGCCTGGATCAGGGGATGATTCAGAGAAACCAGATTTGTGTAAGCATATTGTAAAAAAAACGTGAGCCTGTTTGTGATGTAGTTTTATATGTTAAGGAGTTTACTATCTGTGGTATTGGTAACCAAAAGTGCCTACAGACATCAACATTCAAGCTGCCAGATGTTGCCCAACCTCTTCTGTCTCCACTGGTCTGATTATAAATGTTCCAGTGAGCTAACTGTTGACACCCCACTCCTGGTCTGTCTTGAGGGAAAATTTCTACCAGTCAGAAATGAATCATGTTCAAATAAACCACATGGCCAAGAAAGCTCAGACGGGTGTTGGAAAACCCCAATCCTACCATAAACGGCTGGCCAGTACAAACACTCTCTTATGTCTGTAGGTATGCTTAGGTCTGTCATATATGTGCAGACCAGAATACCACAAACTGGTTATGTTTTAGGAGCTACTGTCTTTAACCACTTTTTTTCCACACAAATAGAGCTTTCTTTTGGCGGTATTTAATCACCACTGAGTATTTTATTTTTTGTTATACAGTTGCAATAAAAAGTATGTGAACCCCTTGGGATTATGTGGAGTTTTGCATGAATTGGGCATAAAATGTGCTCTGAACGTCATCTAAGTCACAACAATAGAAGAACACAGTCTGCTGAACATAATACTACACAAAAACATTAGATGTTGCCATGGTTTAATTTGCACATAACATGTAAACATTCACAGTGCAGGGAGGAAAAAGTATGTGAGGCCCTAGCTTAATGACTTCTCCCAGAGCTAATTGGAGCCAGGAGTGAGCCAACCTTGACTCCAATCAGTGTGTGATGATATTGGATGTGTTGCTGACAGCTGTCCTGCCCTTAAAAAACACACACCTGTTTTGGGTTTACTGGTTTCAAGAAGCACTGTCTGATGTGAACCATGCCTCGCAGAAAAGAGCTCTCAGAAGACCTATGATCAAGAATTGTTGACTTGCATGAAGCTGGAAAGGGTTACAAAAGTATCTCCAAAAGCCTTGATGTTCATGTGTCCACGGTAAGACAGACTGTCTACAAATGGAGAAAGTTTAGCACTGTTGCTACTCTCCCTAGGCGTGGTCGTCCTGTAAAAATGACTGCAAGAGCACAGCGCAGAATGCTGCATGAGGTAAAGAAGAATCCCAGAGTGTCAGCTAAAGACCTACAGAAATCTCTGGCACATGCTAACATTTTTGTTGACACATCTACAATAAGGGAAACATTAAACAAGAATAGAGTACATGGGAGGACACCACGGAGGAAGCCATTGCTGTCCAAAAAGAATATTGCAGCACGTTTGAGTTTGCAAAAGAGCACCTGGATGTTCCACAGCACTACTGGCAAAATATACTGTGGACAGATGAAACCAAGATTGAGTTGTTTGGGAAGAACACACAACACTATGTGTGGAGAAAAAAAGGCACAGCACACCAACATCAAAACCTCATCCCCACTGTAAAACATGGCGGAGGGAGCATCATGGTTTGGGGCTGCTTTGCTGCCTCAGGGCCTGGACGGATTGTTGTCATCGATGGGAAAATGAATTCCAGAGTTTATCAAGACATTTTGCAGGAAAACGTATGACCATCTGTCCGCCAACTGAAGCTCCGCAGAGGATGGGTGATGCAACAGGACAATGACCCAAAGCATACAAGTAATTCAACAAAACAATGGCTGCAACAGCACAGAATACGCCTTCTGGAGTGGCCCAGTCAGAGTCCTGACCTCAACCCGATTGAAATGCTGTGGCATGACCTTAAGAGAGCGATTCACACCAGACATCCCAAGAATATTGCTACACTGAAACAGTTTTGTGAAGAGAAGTGATCCAAAATTATTCCAGATCGTTGTGCAGGTCTGATCTGCAACTACAGGAAACGTTTGGTTGAGGTTATTGCTGCCAAAGGAGGGTCAACCAGTTATTAAGTCCAAAGGTTCACATAATTTTTCCTCCCTGTACTGTGAATGTTTACATGTTATGTGCAATTAAACCATGGCAACATCTAATGTTTGTGTAGTATTATGTTCAGCAGACTGTGTTCTTCTATTGTTGTGACTTAGATGATGTTCAGAGCACATTTTATGCCCAATTCATGCAAAACTCCACGTAATCCCAAGGGGTTCACATACTTTTTCTTGCAACTGTATATATATTAAAAAATACCCCAAAATTTTGGAAAAAAAACATTTTTTGTTTACCTTTTATTATAAAATTTTTGCAAATACTGTTGTTTTCTTAAATTTATTTTGCTACATTTTTTGGATAGTCTACAGACTATGGGATATACAGTTAGGTCCATATATATTTTGGACACAGGCACAATTTTATTTTTTTTCGGGTATTTATCAAAACATTCAAGCTATAGTTATATAATGTATATGGGCTGAAAGTGCACACTCTCAGGTTTAAATTGAGGGTGTGGACATCCAAATTGGAGTTTAGGAATTGCAGCTCTTAAGAGTAGCCACCCCCATTTTTCAATGGATCAAAAGTAATTGGACAATTAAATCAAAACCTGTTTCATGGCCAGGTGTGGACTACTCCTTCATTATTTCTTCATCAATTGAAAGGTCTGGAGTTGATTCTAAATGTGGTATTTGCATTTGGAATCTGTTGCTGTGAACCTATATCATGCATTCAAAGGAGCTGTCCATGCAAGTGAAACAGGCCATTGTAATGCTTAAAAAATGAAACAAATGAGAGCTAGCAGGACATCCACGGAAGACAACAGTGGTGGATGGTCGCAGGATCCTCTCTATGGTAAAGAAAAGCCCATTCACAACATCCAGACAAGTGAAGGACACTCTCCAGGAGGTGGGCCTATCATTGTCAAAGTCTACAATCAGGAGAAGACTTCACGAGAGCAAATACAGAGAGTTTACCACAAGCTGCAAACCATTCATAAGTCTGAAGAATGGAAAAGCCAGATTAGACTTTGCAAAAAAAAAAATCTAAAAAAGCCAGACCAGTTCTGAAAAAGCATTCTTTGGATGGATGAAACTAAGATTAATCTGTACCAGAATGACGGGAAGAAAAAAGTGTGGAGAAGGCTTGGAACAGCTCATGATCCAAAGCACACACAACGTCATCTGTAAAGCATGGTGGAGGCAGTGTGATGGCATGGGCATGCATGGCTTCCAGTAGCACTGGGTCATTGATGTTTATTGATGATGTGACAGAAGACAGGAGCAGCCGGATTAATTCTGTAGTTTTTAGAGATGTACTGTCAGCCCAGATTCAGCCAAATGCAGCAATGTTGATTGGACGGCGCTTCACAGTACAGATGGACAATGATCCAAAACACTGCAAAAGCAACCCAGAAGCTTTTTAAAGAAAAGAAGTGGAATATTCTGCAATGGCCGAGTCAATCACCTGATCTCTCATGGCCGAGTCAATCACCTAATTGAGCATGCATTTCACTTGCTGAAGGCAAAAATAAAGGAAGAAAGACCCACAAACAAAGAACAATTGAAAACAGCTTCAGGTAGAGCATGGTAAAGCATCAGAAAGGAAGAAGCCCAGTCTTTGGTAATGTCAATGGGTTCCAGATTCAGGTAGTCATTGCCAGTAAAGGATTCTCAACAAAATATTAAAAAATGAACATTTTATTTATGATTATATTCATTTGTCCAATTACATTTGAGCCCCTGAAAATGGAGGGATTGTGTATAAAAATGGTTGCATTTCCTCCTTGATATTTATGTTCAACCCCTTGATTTAAAGATGAAAGTCTGCACTTCAGATTCATATGGATTGTTTCGTTTTAGTTTATTCAGGTGGCATACAGAGCCAAAAGTATGAAAATTGTGCCTGTGTGCAAATATATATGGACCTAACTGTATATATTACAATTAATCAGTTGAGGCCCTAAAATGCAGGATGCTGGTATGGCATATGGGGTGAGCAGAACTCTGATATGTGGTATGGCAACAATCAAGATGCTGGTATGGGGTATGGTGGTGATCAGGCCATTGGTATGAGGTATGGCAGTGATCGGGTAGCTGGTATGGGGTATGGCGTTGACTAAAACACTGGTATGGACTATGCTGGTGATCAGGATGCTGGTATGGCATATGGAGTATCAGAACACTGGTATGTGGTATGACGACGATCAAGATGCTGGTATGGGGTATGGTGGTGATCAGGGTGGTGAAATGGTGTATGGCGGCAATCAGGGCGTTAGTATTGCATATGGCATGATCAGGCTCCTGGTATGGCATATGACGGTGATCAGGGTGCTGGTATAGCATATGTCGGTGATTATGGTGCTGGTGTCAGGTACGGTGGTGATCAGGACTCTGGTGTGGCATTGATCAAGACATTGGTATGGTGTATGAAGGTGCTATTGTGAGAAATGGGACAAGGATTGTCTGAATTATTTATTGTGAATACACTAGGGCAGTGATAAAGGATGCTGAGGCCTTGATCAGGGACACAGGCTGCTGTATACTCACAGGCTGCAGCATCGCTTCTCTCTGCTCTCACAGTGAGAGCAGAGAGAACCAATATTTATTTTTATGTCCTATTATTTACTATTTGATTGCTGTGATTGGACACAGCAATCACATGGTAAAACACCATGTAATCACCCAAACACAGTGGTAATGTGATCCGCTATGTCCAGGTAACACACAGATCACAAGCCTCCCGGGTTCGCACTCTATGAGCCGCGCAGGAGCCGCCAATGGGGGGCTGACGTACAGGCACATGAGCCCACATCAGCGCTGCTTCTTCCCTTCTGCCGTTTATAGACAGCGGGTGGACAGGAAGCAGTTAAAGGTGTTTTGTAAACAAGCCAATAACTTTATATTTATATTTCTCATCCCCAGTGATGTTTTGAAATGTATTTATTTATTACCCCTAAATTGATATCACTTGCAATTTTCCTTATTAATTGATGTCTATGACCCCCAAACAGACCCACCTTCTGTAGTTCTACCATAACATCTCTTTTGCTGTGAGCTGTACTTCTTTGTTCCCTTGACATAGTGCATTCTCTATATATTGCTATCAAACTCTGCAAGGGGGCAGATCACAGACACATTTTGCTCTTAACAGCCCTTTAGGGAAGTGGTCTCCAAACTGCAGCCCGGAGTCTGGATGCAGCCCTTTGCTTGCCCTTATCTGGTCCTTGGGGCACTATTCCATCAGTTGACACCAATGATGGGTCACCATTTCTCCTACTGACACTATCATTTGTACTCTATTTATCTCATTGATATCAACAATGGGGAATTGTTCCTTCCATAAAAAATAATGATGGGGCACTGATGCCGGGGCATTTTCTGCTCCCACTGGCCACAGTCCGGCCCCCCTAAAGCCTGAAGGACAGTAAGCTGGCCCTTTGCTTGGAAAATTTTGGACACCCCTGCTCTAAGGGACACTGCTTATGAATATATGGGGAATGCATGCCAGAAGATAATAATAATAATAAGGATGTACAGTTTAAAGCAGAGACATTTATGTCATAACGGGACTGGAGGGAGCAGAGATATCCCTGATAACATCTTGTCTTGTTTTGAATTATTATCCAGACTATAGTTTTTCTCTATCTGTTTGTTTTGCTGTGGCCAAGTTATCCAAGATACTGACTTCTCACATCCTCTGCTTTACTTGGCTGTTCATAGCTATTGAATAATTCTTTGTTGGTCCATTCTCTATATTTCAACCAACTTCCATCCAAAATCCTCTTTTAATCCACTAAATCTGTACAGCTCTGCTGTTCTTTCCACCCAGGTCTCCTTTGCAAATGACAAGGTCTGCTTTGCATATGTATCAGGACAGAAATTAGATCATTTGCATCTTTAGGGTTATTACAGCTTCCCACTAGGATCCTTCAACTTGTCTTTTGGTGGAAATAGAGGAGGGGGCCTGAGTCTTGAAGTCATATATATGAATTAGATGCTCTTTTTCAGGCTACCAAATAATTACAAAGTGGAAAAAAAAAACACCTGACCTATTTTGCTATATAATTCATAAGCATTTACTTGCCAAGAAGTAAAGTTACTTCCATTCACTTATCTACCTGTTCTATAAGTCTGAGTTCATAGGGTGTTTGTGGAAAAATGGCTCCGAACTGATTAGAAAAGACATTGATACATAAGGCTCTATACTATATTGCCAAAAGTATTAGGACACCCCTCCAAATCATTGGATTCAGGTGTTACAATCACCTCCATGGCCACAGGTATATAAAATCAAGCACCTAGGCATGCAGACTGCTTCTGCAAACATTTGTGAAAGAATGGGTCGCTCTCAGGAGCTCAGTGAATTCAAGCGTGGTACCGTGATAGGTTACCATCTGTGCAATAAGTACAACTTATTTTCCTTCGCCACTGGATTCTAGAGCAGTGAAGACGTGTTCTCTGGAGTGACGAATCATGCTTCTCTGTCTGGCAATCCGATGGATGTGTCTGCGTTTGTTGTTGTCAGACCGATACTTGTCTGACTACATTGTGCCAAATGTAAAGTTTGGTGGAGAAGGGATTATGGTGTGGGGTTGTTTTTCAGGGGTTGGGCTTGGCCCCCTAGTTCCAGTGAAGGGAACTCTTAAGGCATCAGCATACTAAGACATTTTGTACAATTTCATGCTCCCAATTTTGTGGGAATAGTTTGGGGTGGACCCTTCCTGTTCCAACATGACTGCACACCAGTGCACAAAGCAAGCTCCATAAAGACATGGATGAGTGAGTTTGGGGTGGAGGAACTTGACTGGTTTGCACAGAGTTCTGACCTCAAGCCGATAGAACACATTTGGGATGAATTAGAGCGGAGACTGCGAGCCAGGCCTTCTCATCCGACATCAGTGCCTGACCTCACAAATGTGCTTCTGGGAGAATGGTCAAACATTCCCATAGACACACTCCTAAACCTTGTGGACAGCCTTCCCAGAAGAGTTGAAGCGATTATAGCTGCAAAGGGTGGGCCAACTCAATATTGAACCCTACAGACTAAGACTGGGATGCCATTAAAGTTCATGTGTGTGTAAAGGCAGGCGTCCCAATACTTTTGGCAATATAGTGTATGTGTGATTGTTAGGTGTGCTTTCATTCTGTTGACACTAGATGGCAGTAGAATATCAGTTTGTGGACACTCAGCTTGCTGCTGGTCCGGCTGTATTGATTCAGAGACTCTCAAAGAGCATTTCAGTATAGTAAAGCAAAGTAAATGTGCAGGGAGGCTTGCATAGTAAATTATTGTTTTTACGTGTTCTGTTTTGAGTCTGTTCCACATAATGCATGCCTGCTTGTGTGCATTGTGTAGGGGTGGTACAATGTGTTGTTACAATGCAATCACACTTTATATTTTTTTTAACTGCATTGAAATGTCACAAAATTCTATTTCATTCAACTCTATGCACCGCAGCATGTTGAGATGTGGTTTAGTGCATTGCAACGCATTGAGCTCCGCTGGGTAAAAATGCAACCTGTTCTACTTTTTTTTTTTTAGCGCAGCCCAAAATAGATCAGTCAAATATAGTGTGTAGATTGTGAAGATATAATGAGTAATATATTATTTGAAGCTTCTGTAGACAGATTTATTTAAAAATAGTTCCTTCATAGCTGTTGATTATTTACTGCTGTATTTAAAGTGTTCCTAAACCCAGGACCCTGCATTCACCATATCTGATCTCCATATGTACACACAACATGGAAATGCAATTATTTTAGTAAATATAAACTGCTAAATACCTTTTCTCATCAGCAGTTAGAGCAGTCTTGAGACTTCTACCAGTGTTCAGCCAAGCACTAGCTAATGCTTGTGGGAGGAGTTTTCTTTCTGCTCTAGGAGGATGCAGAACCCCTGACCTCTGTCAGACCAGTGCTGATTGGCCCTGTGCTGATCACATGCACTCTCTCAAGAAAAAAAAAACCTCTCTATCACTACACACCAAACTGAGCATGTGCAAAATGCCTGCGGTTCAGTCTGTCTTATCAGGAGATAAGAGTGGTCGCTTCAAAAAGGGGAGGAATAGAGAAAAAAGGATCAAACGGCTTTTTTACACAATGCAGAGGATTAACCCCTTAGGCTCCACAGTGAGTATAACAAGCATGCTTTACTGCATCTACAGACTGATTGTGGGTGTTGTGGGTTTAGTAACACGTTAAGCATTACTGTTGGACGCTAATAATTATAATAATATTATTATAAATATCCTTGCGTTTATTTTACAGCTCCAGCCTTAAGCAAATTGGCACTGGTACATTCCAATCTAGAAGAAGATCCTGAGGATGTAAGAATGGAATTTGTTAAATATCTCCGAGGTGTCGTCACCTCATTGTCAGAGAGCAGGGACCGGGAAGAGATGTCCATTATCACATAACAGGCACTGTGACGCAAGAAACCTGTCTGTTCCTGATGAGTTTCCTTATGGATAAATGGACTTCACATGGCACGGTTTATGCAAATACTATAGCTTGTTCACAAGAAGATGTTCAAGTTATTTAACACAGTATATGTTTAGTGACAAAAAGATTTATACTTCGTACATTGTGTAATAATATTTCAACATTAAATTATTTCTATAAAGCAATATTAAACCTTCCTTTTTAAGCACTCTCAGCAGCTGACCAAATTGCTTACTGAGTGTGCAGCTTCTTTATCTTAGAATCCTTGCCTATGTTCCAGTTTAAGCTGGTGCCATGGCAACTGCCGCAGGTCTCCTGTTTCAGAATGGTTCCTTTCTCTTGCAGCCTCCTATGAAGTCACCCTTGTATGCAGGGACTAGAGCTCTGTCTCCCTACACTTTGCTGCTCCTGCTCCTCCCCTCAGCCTTCTCCAAGCCAATAGACTGACTTGGGACTGCACTGTCATCTGTTAACTCTTTCCTCTAAAGACTAGAAGTTCAGGGAAGCAGTGCTAAGAGAGCAGGATCCAGCTGCAATGAAAAATTTAAACTGCAAGTGCTGGGTAATAAGTTTAACAAATAATTAACTGGGAAATGTTTATTTTGTTATTTGTTAAAGAAAAACTATCATTACAATTTAATTACACAGCTCTGCCCCCCAATGAGGCACAGTACTTTGTTGCATGTTGCTAGGTTTTTAAGTCTAGTATGAGTTTTGACCTGCCCCCCTCTCCTCCCCCTACAGTAAATTTGACAAAAGCTAGGAAGGAGATGGACTCATAATGGCAGCTTGTCCCAGCTTAAAACATTTTTCCAAGACAAAAGGAATGCACGGGGGGCATGTCAGCCTCCTGTCTCTCTACAAGAGACCATAACAGGCTGTGGTTATGATGAGTCCATCCTTCCTAGCTGCTGTTGGGTTTGCTGTGGGGAAAAGAGAGGGGGGCAGGTTGGACCTCATAACGAGACATAGGAAGCACCTAGTAACATAAACTTTGTTCTCTGGGTGGCAGAAGAGTGTAAGACAATAAGTTCACCTTTGGGAACATGTTACATGCTCCACCCCTTTTTAGGGTGGAACGTGTAACATGTTCACATAGCTGCAGTTGCACCTCCCCCCCATACTATCTGTCCAATTTGAAAACAGCATGGCTGTGCGGGGCTCCGCCCACGCCCAAATGACTGCGTCACTCAGTCACAGAGTTCTGTGACTGAGTGCCTACAAGTCCCGGCAGCCTTAGTAGCTATCGGCTTGTAGTTTTCAATGAACTACCACGGCGCTGTGGAGCGCTGTGTTAGTTCATTGAAGCTTCCTTTCAGAATATCTGCTTGCTCGTACATCCCGTACGGCAAACAGATATTCTGACAGGTCTGCAGGAGCCCTGCATGGCATCAGCGATCTACTGATTTATGGTGCAATGCTTTCCAGGCTCCTGCAGACAAAAATAATAAATGCACATTTTTTTTTTACCTGCAAAGAAATGTATATTTATTATTTTTGGCAAATCCTTTAAATGATAGGTGCTTGTGTTTCTATGTGTAAGATATGATACGTGCAGTTTGAAAGTGACCTGTGTTTTACGTTTTTTGCTCTACAGCTCTTGAATGGCCCAGGTTTTAGTCCATATCCAGCTACACATTGCTTTTAATAACCACTGTGTGACCTCCAGCTCTCTGGTATTCTTTTTAATCTTTAATCCATCTCTTCTATAGACTTCTTCTCCCTCTTGGATTGTGGCAAGCATTATATTAGTTTTGTATACAGAAGATGAAAGGTCCCACCCTCACTTCTATTAAAGATAATGTTACTGTTGCCATAAAATATTACAAAAGTATACAAAAGGATTGCCACATATTTTAATAGCTGTGCTTTGCCAAGGTAGATGAATATGTCTTTATAATGCTAATTATTTATTTTGCTCAATTATTTCTACAAATATTTTTAAATACCTTTTCTATTCTATTCCAAGTAAAATGCTACAATATTATGTTAACAAACACTGTTGTAGCATGTAAGACTGCTATCATAAAGGCTCTTCTATTGCCTCATACCTATATGCTGCAATTGCAGGTAAAATGCAATGCATGATAACATGCAAAATAACACCCATTAATAAATGTGTAGTAACACACAGCAACTGACCTCAAGGGTGTAAAGGGGCCTTACAGCTTCCTTACACTTGAGACCTTTTTCTTTAAGGTCTCAATGTTATCACGCATCCTGCTGTGTTTTCCAATACAAGCAAATTACATGGGCATGGGAAAATTCTTTGTTTTTAGTAGAATACATTTGGGTTACAGTTTCCCATTACTGTTTCAGATTATTATTTTTTTTAATGCTATCGTTGAAAAATGCAATTTAAACCTTTTGCCCTCCGGAAGATTTACCCTCCTTCATGACCCGTCCATTTTTTTGCTATAAGGCGCTGCATTACTTTAACTGACAATGGCTCGGTCATGCAACACTGTACACAAATGAAATTTATATACATATTTTTTCACACAAATAGAGCTTTCCTTTGATGGTATTTGATCATCATTGGGTTTTTTTTTATTGTTTGCACTATAAATGAAAAAAGACTGAACATTTTTTTTTTTTACAAAAAACAGTATTTTTTACTTTTTGCTATAAAACATCCATAAAAAATGTAAAAAATAAAATGTATTTCTAAATGTAGGCCAAAATCTATTCTGCTACATGTCTTTGGTAAAAAAAAAAATCCCAATAAGTGTGTATTGCGTGAACATTATAGCGTCTTCAAAGAGGCGGTATATATACTGGAATTTTTATTTATTTACTTTTTATACTAGTCATGGCCGCGATCAGCAACTTATAGAAGGACTGCGCTAGTACAGAGGGCATTCTGACACTAACACTAACTGACACTGGGTGGGAACTGACTGTCACTGACATCTGTAGTGGCACTGGTACAGTGATCAATGCTAATAAAAATCTCTGTCACTGTACTAATGACACTGGGCAGGAAGGGGTTAACATCTGGGGTGATCAAAGGGTTAACTGTGTGCTAGGGAGTGGTTAAACAGTGTACTGTTTAGTGTTTTACTAGGGGATGTGCTGGCTTTTATCTCTTTGCTTTGCAGAGAGATAAACAGCAGAATGTCCCTGCTGACAGGAGAGAGAGTTTGTGTGTGTGTATGTATATATACAGTTGTGTTCAAAATAATAGCAGTCAGACATCACTAACCTGATCAGTCACTGGTTTTTGGTAGAAATTATATTTCTACATGGCAAATAATTTACTAGCAGGTGTAGTAGAGTAATAGAAATCCAATAGACCCAACAGTCATGACATGCATGCTGCTGATTCTGTGTAATTGAATCACTAATTGAAAGGGGCATGTTCAAAATAATAGCAGTGTGGAGTTCTATTAGTGAGGTCATTCATTCTTTGAAAAACAGGTGGCAATTATTGCCCTTATTTAAGGAAGGAAGGCAGCAAATGTTGTACATGCTGGTTACAGTGCATTTCTCTCTGAAATTCTGAGGAAAATGGGTCGTTCCAGACATTGTTCAGAAGAACAGCGTACCTTGATTAAAAAGTTGATTGGAGAGGGGAAAACATATAAAGAAGTGCAGAAAATTATAGGCTTCTCAGCTAAAATGATCGCAAATGCTTTAAAATGGCAACCAAAACCTGAAAGACGTGGAAGAAAGCGAAAAACTACCATTCTAATGGATAGAAGAATAGCCAAAATGGCAAGGACTCAGCCAACAATCAGCTCCAGGAAGATCAAAGAAGGTCTAAAGTTACCTGTGAGTACTGTTACAATTAGAAGACGCCTATATGAAGCCAAGCTATCTGCAAGAAGCCCCCGCAAAGTCCCACTGTTGAAAAAAAGACGTGCTGAAGAGGTTACAGTTTGCCAAAGAGCACATTGACTGGCCTAAAGAGAAATGGCGCAACATTTTGTGGACTGATGAAAGTAAGATTGTTCTTTCTGGGTCTAGTGGCCGGAAACAGTTTGTCAGACGACCCCCAAACACTGAATTCACGCCACAGTACACTGTGAAGACAGTGAAGCATGGTTGCGCAAGCATCATGATATGGGGATGTTTCTCATACTACAGTGTTGGGCCTATTTATCGCATACCAGGTATCATGGATCAGTTTGAATACATCAGAATACTTGAAGAGATCATGCTGCCTTATGCTGAAAAGGAAATGCCCTTGAAATGGGTGTTCCAACAAGACAACGACCCCAAACACACCCGTAAACGTGCAACATCTTGGTTCCAGACCATCAAGATTGACGTTATGGAGTGGCCAGCCCAATCCCCGGATCTTAATCCAATAGAAAACTTGTGGGGTGACATCAAAAATGCAGTTTCTGAGGCAAAACCAAGAAATAGAGAAGAACTGTGGAATGTAGTCCAATCATCCTGGGCTGGAATACCTGTTCACAGGTGCCAGAAGTTGGTTGACTCCATGCAACACAGATGTACAGCAGTTCTCAGAAACAGTGCTTATACAACTAAATATTAATTAAGTGATTCCAAGGAAAGCAAAATCTTCAAACATTTTTCAGTTTATATAGTGAATGTTTGAGTTTGTAAAGAATAATACAAACACTGCTATTTTTTTGAACAGTCTAATATTCACTTCTCTTCAATTTTTTTAGAGGAACAACACAAATTTGATATATTTTTCTTCATGTTTTGATTTGTAATAGAATGTGTAGTGTTCCCAATGCATTTGTGTATATGGAAATAAAAGCTATTAGAAGGATTTTGAGCTTTATTCACTTTTTTCAACACACTGCTATTATTATGAACACAACTATATATGTATGTACATATATATATATATATATATATATATATATATATATATATATATATATATATATATATATATATATATATTTATCCCTGGCCATAGGGGATCTCCTGCATGGTAGGGTTGGGGAAAGACCTGGCAACCTACCCTGTAAAATAATTGCTAAGAGAATTCATG